ATATATATATATATATATCGAGAATAATTTATAATCAAATTTATAAGTATACTAAAAGATAATTTCTTTAACCCTCTTATTTATCGAGAAAAACTTTATTTAGAAATCATGAATGCACACCTAATTTTAATATAAATATGTTACTTGCCAAGAGACTAAAATGAACGAGATGTGAATAAGGTTAACAAAGAGTCATAATTTTTTCCCTTTTTTATCATAATAAATGTGAATATATGATTAATGTGTATTACATTTATTATTATTATTGAAAGTAAAAAAATATTTATTTTATTTTTCCCACATAAAAAAATGGATTTATCTTTTGGAGAGTTATTGCTCCAATTTATTTATAATAATTATCACAATAATATTGTAAATAATAAGAATAATTGTATTAATGTTGTCAAACTTTTATTGTCCTACATATATATATTGAAAAAAATTATTCAACTCTTGATACTTTTTCTACATCTTCAACGCTACATACATGTTTTTTTAAAAAAATTATTTCTTCATCACTCTCTGATAATCTCTATACGACTAAATTATAATGAAGAAATAATGATACAGTCGAATAATATAATGATATAATTAATCCAAAAGAAAAAAAATATTATAACACATATCTTTTAACTATCATGCGAAGCGCGGACATGTTCCCTAGTTAAATATAAATTTATATAGGCAAAATAGAGGAAATGAAAAGAAAGACTTGAGAATAAATATTCTTACCTTCATTTACTTCTTTTTTGTTACAAATCAATATGATGAAGAAGAGAAAATATAATCTTGAATGTGAATCTTCATGAAACAAAATGTGAATTTATATAGGCAAAATACAGGAATACCATAAGACACTATAAACTTACAAATTAAAATTTGGAGGTTATTAACATGAAAATTATGGGAGTCATGAATATTATTAAAAGTAAAAATTAAAGAGGTGTAAGTCATGGGTAACAGAAAGAATATGAAGAGTGTTTGTTGTAAATGTTCCTCCATTAATAAAATATTTATTTGTAACAAAATTAAATAATTTACTTTTGTAATACAATAATCTATATATATATAAAGCTGGAAATAGGCAAAGCTGATGTGGCATGCCTTATTGATCAGTATTGCTATTTATCTATTTTCTCATAATTTTGAATTTTTTTCATCATTTTCTATTCAATAATCTTTTTTTTAAAAAGTAACTTCCTTTCCTCATTATTAGCATTTAGCATAATGAGCAATTAAATTAGGAAATTATTTATTGCTTTAGCCCACGCAGCATCGGTTACTTCTTGATGCTTTTAATCACCAGTAATTAATTGGCAGCATTCATTTACTTATTCATACTCTATTTTCGCATATATATACTCCTTATATCTTTCATTTGAGGTCTAAGGTAAGTATTTTTCTCTTTTCTTTTATTTTTTTTATTCATGATTCATAATCCTTAATTTTTAATCTATATATATATTATCATCATCTTATAACAGGCTAA